CACCCCAATTACTTTGGTATTCATAGGAAAGGCGCGTTAGATACGGATGGACAATTCACTTATCGATATTTTATTGATATTGATGAAATACACAGATATACAGAACGCGGAAAGCAAGTCTGTTTTTTTATAATTTCGTAAGCAAATTGTTTAACAAATAGGTTAAGATAAAAAATAAATACTTTGTAAAGTAAAAGTAAAAAAGTTTTATAAAGTTTTCGAAGTTTAAGAAGTCATTTAAAGTTTTAAATTAATTTAGTTAAGCACCAAATTCATGTTTCTTATGTAACACATAAGGATAAGTAAAAAATACTCGAATAAAATTAATAACATGAAACGACATAGAAAAGCGACGTCTGTTACTATTGGTCAGTACAAATCTATTTTTTAATGTCCTTACCACTTCAAAAACACCAAAGCACGCAATGCACAAATCATAATAAAAAATAATAAAAATCGAACTACCAACCAGAAAGCAAATACAGAAATTGTACAAAATAAAAAGACTAGTCGCAAGCGCATTTTATCGATAAAGGAGGGACTTCACTAACTCGCACCTTGCTAGCCATCTGCCGCGATGCACGTGAGGCAATTAAGGCCATCGGCTCTTTGGGGGTGCCACCCTCAGTACAATGGTCGTTTACCTCAGTACGGAGGGGTTGCACCATGGTCAATGCACCAGGCTTCATTGTTTGATGTTTAGACTCCCACGGGAGACAAAGAGGTAGACCGTGGAAGAATTTTCGAGTTCGACCCTCTTAAAAATTGTAATGCAAGGTGAGAGGTGAGATTAGAGGTCCTACAAATTAAACAACAAGTAATCCATTACAATTATGATAAGTATAGATTGAGTATTACAATTGAAACATGGTTTAACTACGTAATAGACATGAAAAGTATGTGAGAAAAATTACTTGGATGAAGCAACAGTAGTGAAACCTTCTAAAACTTCATATTTCTTCGAAGTCAATAGTAAAATTCTTATTGTTACACAAATTTCGGTACCCAACATTAATTCTTTAATCAATCATTAGCATAATACAAAACAAGCATTGTTAAAACACCGAAATAAATGCAACAAGCAAAAAAAATGTCTATGACAACATCCTTAGAATCCATCCAGAATAATTTATTGCTCAGGGTCTCTAAAACAATAACCTAACAAGGTCACCGATAGTAGGTACGAAAATTTTGAATGAAACAGACTATGACTTCATTCAACGAGTACACCACCCAACTAGTTACACAGCCCACGCTTTGCGAAGGCATCTCGAAAAGCTACGTGAGACCTTGGCTACATCTCAAGGTCCCCGAAAGCACGCAGGATTATCCGGACCATTTGCTAGTCAAGTCGTAACCAACTTAAATATTTAAATTTTATTCGTATGTAGCTTGACTTTGTAAATGATCGCTTCCTTTTCTATAGTATTATCATCTTCGGTCACACCTCTGATGATTTAGAACTTTAAATGGCAAAATAATTCGTGACATCTCATTTTATTTTGTGTTCAAAATTTGTAAGTTTCTAAATTTATCACAGCGGTGCTCTTTCTGACTTACAAGTAAATATCCCAGCTGATAAAGACTTTTTTAAATTCCAACCGGTTACACAAAAAAATGACCTTGGTCTCCTAAGAGCATTTAGATAAAATCTTTCTTAGAGAAACGAGTTGTTCCCTTAATAAATATGTTTTACTCTTTGTTATCCACACGACGATTTTGGTCTAATTTAACACCCGTCCCCAGAGACGGGTGTTGTGTCTTCGGAATCAACTGCTGCTCTTTTGTCATGGCCTACTTGATCCACATCATCAATGGGCACTAATTGGTCTCAAACAACTTTGGGCCCCAGCCTAAAAATTTGCGAGGTCACAAAGTTCAAGGAGGTTTAACAAGCTTGCTTCCTCTTAGTTACGGCATACAAATACCGCCTTAAGTCCACTGTGATTGTAATCAAGGTCTCGGTTTAACATAGGTAGTTTAATATCACGTGGTTGCCTCGTTCCGTATGATCCACAGCGCGACAAATAAGCCAATATAATTCCTGGATTGAGTAGTTTTAACTTTAGCATCTCTAATTTTTTTCACGTTTGGACTAATGAGGAGTTCAATTTGTAAGGGCTTCATCAATGATGCCTTGATGTGTCAATAAAATGTTTATAGTTGTATTGATTTATTAAATACTTATTTGGTTTTGGATTTTCTCTAACGGAATCAATTACAGTTAGTCATAAACTTATGTCTTGGGAGAGTCGCAGAATCCATTTAGATAGATGAGGTTTTTATAGGCGATAAATTTCTTTGATCTTTGATATTTTCTTTGATTTGATTCTTATGATCAATGTAAAAGAATCATTAAAGAGTTTAATGTATGAGCTTCTAATTTTTCCTCCGGCAACGGTGCGAGATGTACCTTCATTAAACGTTAATTGTTATTTATATTTCCATCAATTCATAAGTACCTATCTGCAACGAGACCGTATCATATTCTTGTTTTGCCTATTTTAACATATGACATCTTCATTTCATTAACATTAATAACAATAAAACGAGTGATTAATAAAAATTGTTGTATAAAAATACTTTTGAGAACAAGTTTGGGTTTTTTGTTTAGATAGTGGGTATTCGGCGAGAAATATTTTATTTTGTAGTCCCTCCTAGATTTTACTCGAGACGTGACTAGCGTATAATTTTGTCAAGCAATTTCGCAACCATATTTTCGTAAAAAAACCTCTATTTCATCAAAATCGGTATAGCAATTCTAGCGTAAAACAGTACCTGATTAACTTAAACTTCGAAAATATTGCTTTAGATTAGATATGATAATTAAAAGTAAACTAACCTATTTGCCTTCAAAAAAGGGAAGGAAAATAGTTATATGATAGTTCAAGTTTAAAGATACAATCACTATAAAGGTATATTATATGGCTACCTATATCTACTTCCTTAACCTCAACAGACTCAGTACATGCGTACTTAGCTGGTTTACTATGTATAATATGTATATCTACATAACTACGTAGGTACGAATGAACTGAACACGTTTGATCTTTACGCGTTGGATTCTATTTTAATATTCAATAAAAGGCTTTTAATAGACAAATTGAAGATTCGAGATTATCTATCACGAGGAAAACGCAATTATCCTTTGTAGTTATTATTATAAAATCTAGCTTCTGTCCGCGACTTCATATGCACAACTCAATTTTTTTGCGTTCCCGTTACTAGTAGTATTTTTGGGAAATTCTTGGATAAAAAGTATCTTATTTTCTGTCTCCTGGTTCTAAGCTACCTCCCCACCAATATTCAGCCAAATCAATTTAGCCACACCTACTAAGTTTTTTAAAATGTATCGATGGTTGGCGTAGTAAAATATTGCAGTATTGCAAGGATGTATGAGATTAGTGACTAATGGTGCAAAACCTGTGCCTTTAGCCAAACGCCACTTTAGCGCTTGTCTACAGAGAGAGCAGAAAAAGAAATGTATGGGGATAACACTAACAAGTGTCAAAATTTACGTCAATCCCATATAGGTAATTTGGTTTTCTATTCTACGTGTAGACAAGCGCTAAGTGGCATTTGGCTACAGCTGCTGGTATGATGATACCTAATATTGCTTTCCTCTATTCAATTCTCTGTCAAAAAAATTTAAACTACATCAAGTAGCTAATAGAAACCGAATTTGGTTGTCTCGGCAGTTATCGATGATCCATCGGCGGCAAAGAATCGCGAAAGATTTATCATTAGGTATTCTGCACCTCTTTTTGACTTGTTACCGATTAACTCCGATTAATATTCATTTTTCCTTCGATAAGCTATTATGACCTCTGTGACAACCAAACCTAGTCGCCCCGTACTAATATTAGCTCAAATCATAAGTGTGAAACATAAATCTTTTACAGTTTACACTTTTCATTGCTTTTACGGCGCTATTAATATTTCCCATACACGGTAATGTTGAAACGTCTACAAATAGAACATTTTAAACAATGTGACTTGAGCTTAGTGCTAGAGCAGTTTAGTAGGCGTATCGAATGACCTAGGCCGTGGTCCTAGGTGAATTGAATTTGCAAATAGCTTCGGTATTTGCGTGCTTGAGAATATTTTAAAGCAAAGGGTTGTTAGGGATAATGACCGCTCATTTGGGCACAATCGGGAAATGTGATGGCGAACTCCATACCTACATCAAAAGAAGTTTTACTCCCCAAAAGAATATTAGATATCTATTCTATACAAGAAAAAGGTGATCTAGCTCGGATCTAACGAATTAGTTAGGTTATTTTAAGTAGGTACCTAGTAGGTATCAATGGTCTCGTACTCGGCAGTTGATGGACAAGACATAGTAAACAAATGCGTTTTACCCATGTTAACAATAGGTACCTAAAGAATGTTTCTTTATAACCTATTTGTACCTAGGTAATATAATGCCTCTTGTACTTACTTACCTAGGCAAGTGTTTATTATCACCAGAATGCATGCGGTTTTAGTGGGCTAAAATTCCACACAAGGTACATAAGTACTTAGTTTCAAACAGGTAGTCTATCTCCTCAAAAGCTTTTAAAGGTTGCCCATGCCCCCGATATAAAAAAAAGATCTTTCTGGCTTGGATAAATAATAGAAATCCGATAAGACCACAAAGGTAAGTAACAAACCTAATCAATTTATTGTTATCAAGTAAATAGTGAAATACCTACCTACTACCTAAATAATTCTTGCTTGTTCACAACTTCGTATCTACAACAAACTACTTACGAGTCACATCTCGCAGATATAATGTATTAGGTATGTACAAAAGAATGTCGTATCGTCCAGACAAGTCTGTTTATGCAGATCATATGGTCAGCTCGCGTAAATATCCACTGACATTCACGCGAAACAGGTTTTTAGGCGCATACCCCAGCCGAAATGCAAAAAGGTATGAAGTAAGGTCTAAGGATACTCTCTGGCTGTATGAATTCATACCAAAACATAAAAAAAAACATTATAAAAGTAAGACTTACTTTCTTCGCCGGCCTCCGATAGTTTTGTTCTCGATGGGAAAGTTGAAGGATTCGCCAAAAATCCGATATTGTAAGTCGTCGTCATTACTTTGATATTGCATCTCTTACACACAAATTACTACGTATTGAATAAATAAAACACCCTTATCACTATTTGATCTTAGAATCATCGTTGTAAAGCATTATTCTAACACTTTTTTTTATTTTAACGCGAACATCACTAATGGCTACGTTACCGCCAAAATGATACAGATAAATCAATGGTTTTATTTTTTTATTGTTTTTTTTTCCTATTAGAGCGTCGGACGCGATGAATCTCGGCTGTTACGCGCGCGAAGCCGGACTGACTGAACGTGTGGCGATCGCGGGAACCCGGCGCGTTTACCCTCAGTTATGGTGTTGCCAACACGGTAGATTCTCCACTAATAAGTGGGTAATTAGTTTCTTGGTTGAGAAATTCATAGTTGAATGATTAGAACGTATAAACCCTTTATCGAGACGTGAAATTAAAAATTACTTTTAGATTATGACAGTTAAATGACAATGTTTTTTTTAAGCTTTTTTAGACACCATTTATATAACAGTTAAAAAAACCTAAAGTAAACTTTAAAATCTGAAATAGGTAGCCTGAAACAAGTAAGCACCCATTCTTTCTCCGTAATTCACATGGTAAGGCAAAGGCCTAGGGCCAGTGAGAGATAGTTTAGTTGATGTGATGCTGCGCACTTATGGCCGTATTACAGAACGATACTCAAGTGGAGATATCCGCTCAAGCATACTTGGAAAGGGTTGCACGTATCTGTTGAATGTATTGCATCCCTTTCTAACTATTCTTGAGAAGAGATTCGTCATTCTATTTTATCTTGAGTTAATTTAATTATTTAAAAAATGGACTGCAACTATCCTTATTCAATTATAATTATTTTTATCTCCAACTAATTAAGTATTAAAATTTGCTATCGAATAATTCTTTGTAGAAACAAAAACATGTTTTATCGGACGTCGGACCTACGACTATGTCATGAGACTTACACCGCATTTTGTTATTATTAGAAATTATTATTATCTTATTACTATTAAACGAAAGAAAGAAGTATCTAAGTATATCTACTACATAATAGGTACCTATTACTTAGATAGAACAAGATAATAAATTATTCAAATGAACTGCAAAAAACATAACAATAATCTTTATTCATCGTTTTCAAGACTGACATTTTACAATTTCCATCTAAAACCCGTCAAGGCTGGTCACTCACCTCACTTAACGATTAAAATAAATAAAAATGATTTAATAAAAATTTTAAATTGCGGAAAATCAAGGGGAGTTTTAAATATTGTTTGTAGCAACACTATCTCGTCCCTTTATGCTCGGGGCCGTGCCATAATGACCATGGAATTCCATACTTAATAGTTCAATTTATTGTAGAGATGTGGGATTCTGAGTGAGTATGTATGATGCAGGTGTAAGAATAATAGGGAAAGTAGGAGTCTAGCTTCAGTCTAGGATTATACCGACCTCTTTGGAACGAGTTTTCGAATTAAAATTCGCAAATTTAAAAATTATTTAGTAATTTGTTCAGCTTTTTATATTTATCACCGACTAATTTTAATTTCATTATTTATTTTAGTAGGTATTTTGTATTTTTAACAAAATGGTATGGTATTCTCTATTTGAGTTGTTTATGAGACAGAACTTATCTACTAACTACTATAATTATCTACCCAATTTGATTTCTAAAGAAGTAATTAGCAAGAAACAAATATCCACAAGATATTTACCTTATCTTAGTAGTCTTTTATAGTATTACCTACACTATCCAAAATACAAATTGTCCAACCTACGTTTTTGCACAGCTGTTTGCAACAAAAACCGAAACCGACTTGTTTACAATGACGTCTGGCGTATTTCATTGTAAAACCGGCCATATAATAGTCACAAAATCAGTCTTACTCCCTTAGCCATAAGGACCATAATATGATCCTTTTGTGTGTAGGGTTTGTCCCTTAAAATACCGGATAGGCTACATCCAGGTCAAACAAAAGGCTATCAGTAATGTGCGAGCAATTTTGACCTAGTTTATGTATTGATTGAAGTTCTTTAAATAGCGTAACCCTAGGCGACGTAGGGCTGGGCTCGCTGCCATTGCAGCGGTAAGTCCCCTCTTTGAGGAGTGGCTTGAGAGACGCTACGGCGTCCTCACCTACCGCCTGACGCAGGTCCTCACCGGACATGGAAGTTTCGGGAGGTACCTGTGTCTGATGGGGCGGGAGGAAACGCCCGGGTGTCATCACTGCGAGGACCACCCTGGGGACACGGTGGAACACACTGTTGCGGAATGCCCTGCGTGGGCTGAGCACCGCCGTGCCCTCAGGGAAGTGATCGGCGATGGAGACCTCTCGCGTCCGGGCCTAGTTCAGGCCATGATGCGGAGCGAGGGGGACTGGGATGCCGTCTCCTCCTTTTGCGAAGCAGTCATGCTGGCTAAGGAGGAGGCGGGACGCGTGAGGCAGCGAAGCGCTGCCTCCTCGCAACCCAGCCATCGCGAAGGACACACCGGGCGTCGGGGATCGCGGGACGATCTCCGGCCACCGTAAGCGCGGGCCTGCGGACGGCGAGCATGGGTGGCTCCCCGTCCGACCAGAAACAGACCCGAGCGTACGGCGCGTCGCGTTCCGCGCGCGCCTCAAAGAGCCATCAGACCACCACAGATGGGGCCCAATAGGGCCGATGCCGATTCGGAGTCGCGGAGAACCTAACGGGTAACCGGGGCTCCGGCTCGACGTGCAGGAGAAGGAACGGGGTGGTTTTTAGTCAGTAAGAGTCTGACACTCCCTTCCGCCTCACCCGGGCGGGAGCAGTCATTCGATGATTTTCCCCCCTTAAAAAAAAAAAAAAAAAAAAAAAAAAAAAAGGCGACGTAGGGCGTCCATTCTTTGTTTGATTTCCAACTTTATAATTATGACGATAACATTTTATACTTTAGTCTACCACTCATTTAACTAATGTATGCATTCGTCAATAACGATAGGCGGACTTAAGTTACTTCGTTTTTACTAAGCAAAATGAAAGCATTTGTCATTTTGTAGGCATTAATTCGTCAAAAGACGCAACGTGGACACGGACAGTTAACCTAATTGTAATAGCCCGAACCGAACTATGGTAAATCTTAAGATTTCCCATTAAACTCCTAAATACCAGTAAATATAAGTTTTATAAGTACCAACTTTCCCTTTGCTACCAGCATAATCCTCTGCTCTCCCTCAGTAAAAAAGGCACGTTAGGTTATGTATTATTAAATTGTACTGAGAATTCGTGACACTACATTCTTATCCGATCACAATACATGTTAATGACGTCATTCAGAGACGCACCCAGAAGAAATAAGCGTGCGAATTGATGCCCAAACAGGCTCCACAATTCCACACCCAACTTGATTTGTACTAAACTAACTTTTGCCTGCGGTTACTCTTGTGTCTACCAAGATTATGTTCAAAAATTTTATGTTCAATCATAAAATTTTACAATGCCCTTCGATTTGTTGTTTGATGCCCTTTATAGATTCAATCGGGGCTCCAGAGAACCGCGAGGGTTACCGTGGCTCTGGCTCAAAGCAGAAGTTGGAAAGAGGTGGTTTTTAGTCCGTAGTCTAGCTGACAGTCCCTCTCGCTTCACCTAAGGTGGGAATGAGACTGGGAGAAGACATTGGATGATTCATTATACCCTTAAAAGAAGCTGTTGTTTTAGATTCTGAATCAGTGTTAAAATATATCAAAATTGATTAGTCAGTTTATGTGTTTAAAACAAACAAACATTCCAACTGATTTTGCTTTTAAACCATTAAGCAAGTGTGGGCGTACGAGAATGTCGCTGAGTTTTACTAGATATCGCAATTCGCAATGTCAAAAGCCTACAAGACTAATGAATGTGCTTCCTTAGATTGCAAAGGGCGCTCTTGCACGCGATATAGTATGTTATTTTAATTTAATCGTTAAAATTGGCACATATTCTTTTGAATGTGTACTTACAGCAAAGGCTAGGCTTAGCCAGATTACTAAAGTAGATAATATGTACTTTTTTTTTAAGGGAACAAGTCCGCCCCCATCTCCTATAACCGCCGCAACTCCTGTAAGCCAGGATCTACAGTAGATACAACCATGAAAACACCGGAACACTGAAGTCAAACGCGTCCCAGGGACATGAATAACTGTCAGATAATATCCTATGCTATTCCCAGAAGGGCATAGATATACGATACTTATACATCCGTATGTATGTCAAGACATTATTGGTCAGTTCTATTGAACACTCCGTTACAAAAAATTACTAATTTATTACCAAGAGTACCAAAGTTTTGTGCTACGAGCATCAAATAACATGACAGGTACAAATAACAATATTAGGAACATTCCCCCTTTCTTCATCATTCAAGTTTCTCACATTTCTACACGTCAACTAATCTGCGTAAGGGCACTATACCCTTAGAAATGCAGCGACATCTCGTAGTGAATCCACGAAGTACATTAACGTTCACGATAAAAAGAGGATAGACTTATGTCTGTAGATAGCTCTAGCCTGGATTTAAAAGTAAGATGTTTCGCTCGCAATTAGTGTATCTAAATAGTATGTTAATTTATCAATCGTTGTACGACGTCAAAAGCTCTGATTGGAAACAAAATGATAGTAATTAAATCGTAATTTATTGATTTTGTTATTTACAGTGTATAAAATATCTAAAAGAATCTTCCTAGGATTTTTGACATACTATAATTATACCTACTTCAATCAAATTGAAATCATCGCCGAATCAAATCCCTTTCATACATTTTCAAGCTAAACGTAAGAAAATAATATATTCGCTGCGGTTTCTGTAAAGCTTACATCTAGTACTTACTCTTCTTTGATAATAACATAATCTTCTTCAGCTTCTGTCGACAGCTTCGCTTGTAGGACCTTTAGTCTTTCAATCTGTAACTGGAGGTAGGATTTTGTGCCTTTTTCTTCGTCCATACTGTGAACAAAATTGAAAAAATCATATGTAGATGAAGCTAATTTTAACTACGGAACATTATCATAGACACCGTGTCAGTCCAGTCCAAT